ATTGCTATCATATTCACAAGGTGGGAAAAATGCATGTTGCAATAGCAGAGCAGTGCTGAAGTGCATGTGTATACTGTATGGTTGGGATTTGGGAGTTCAGGGTTGCTCTTGCAGTGGGAAAGAACCTATTTTTAAGTATGTATCCACCAAAACTGGTGGATAGAGACTTGCAGTGCCCTTTGAAAAGGGCAAAATCTTGAGATGGTGGAGAGTGAGTTGAGCAAGGTCACATATGATTTTAGCTACACTTCTGATTACACTTTTGTTGCACAGTGACCTGTTTGATGGGAGGAAGAAGGCTTTGGTCTTAGATGAGCTGTTGAGTATATGCTGCAGTAAAACTCTGACTCAGGCTGCAGGTCTGCTGATTTACCTGTAGGCTTTGTGCACCAGGTGGGAGAGATCCAGCTGACTTTGCTGTGTGAGCGGGCATAGGTCTTTATCATGCTTCAAGAAATTTAGCAGCTCAGAGGAGTTGGCTATCCAGAAGGCGAGAGCCCCAGCGATGGTCTGCTGCCTCTGAAGGACAAATATAGCAGTGATGTCATTTAAACTCAGAACATCTGGTATTTAGTTTTCCAATAAACTGTTATTCAGTCTTATCTGTGCAAATGTAACAAATGTAAATAAGTGGTTTCTTAGACTTGCCTGGATGACCTTCCCTGTCATGGCCACCATTTTGTTCGTGATTGAGGTTACACTGTGTGTTCGTCTTGATGGTGGAGAGCCTTGCCTGTAATGGCGCTGCAGAGCAAAGCGTCCCACGGCATAGAGAATGTATGCAGGTGAGAGCTTGAAATGAACTGTGGAGGTGTTGGTGTAATTTATGACTGCAGACAGGAAGGCCTCCTCATCTGAAATGTAAAAGACACCAGCAGGGGGCAGGAGGACAATATGAGAAGGAAGGGCAGTGAGCTACCAATTTGAGCGGTATTAAACTAGAAAATAGCACTGTGGAAGGAAACCTTTTTATTTTATACTCACAGTTATCACATAATTTAATCCCAAATGGTAATCCAGGTTGATCTGAAAAATCAGGATGAAGATTTCCTGAGAGCTTTTCTCCTGTAGTTTAGCAAAGAGAAATCATATGAGGAATATAAAAACCTGATTTGCAGCCATCCTGATTATGTGGTAAAATATAGTTCTTATTGATTGGAAGTGAAATATGCCTGTATTGTATGCATGGTTAGTACATTGCTCATGCACTAGACTTGTTCATTATAATTTCTATTTTTGTACAATTTGCAGATTACTCACCCGGGGCTGTCTGGCTCTGGTGCTTTTTGTTGTCTGTGCAATGTTTTGTTTCATGGTAAGGCCCATAAATGCTGTTGTTCAGTGGCTTTTCAGATGACCTGGATATTGGATTTAAAGGGCAGGATGTTTTTCTGACAGTTAGGTACAGTGGGCCTGGGGCCAGTAGTCTGAAAAATAAATATTCATAGTGAACAATGAAATATTTTACCCGTTCTCATCTCCTGAAACCTTGTCAGCAGCTTTAGTTTTGCTCTTCTCTGTCTTCTTTTCTTTTCTTGACAGTGTCCTCTTGAAGTTTTGGATCATACCTCCTTTCTCCTTCTCATGACAGTTTTCCTTTATTGTTCAACACATAAAAAAGGCACAAATATGAGATGGTGTGTGAGTTAAGGAAAGAACTACAGACTAGTTTATCATACAATTAAATCATAATCTAGATACAACTGGTTAATTAATGCAATAGATAGAATAGGTTGAGATTTAGAATACCTGGAAACTCTCCTTGTCTTTCTTGAGCACAAAACGTCCCTCTCTGTTGTCTGAGTTCCAGTTTAATTGTACAATCAAAGGTCTCTCATCCAGGTCCAGTTTGCGTTCTTAATCCACATATAAAACAAAGAAAACTAGTCAGAGTATAAACCTCAACGGTTTATGGAACAGCTGGACCAAGAGAAATCACATAAACAGCCTAAATGAGCAGGGAACTATGGGCATTATAGCATGTTGTACACTAATACAGAATTGTATAGAAAGCTAAAATTAATTATTTTAATTATTTTAGTTATCGACTAATCTGCCAAATAGACTTTTGATTAATTTTTCGGTCCGTTTCAAACAAACGTTCCACATGACATCCTCAATGTTTTGTTCTGTCTGAATAGCAGTTAAACACCAGAAGATATTCAGATTGCAACTATTATCATTTGATTTGCTCATTATTTTGCAATTAATCATTTTGCCAAAAAAAAAATTGAAAAATACCCATAAAATCTTTCCATATCCAAAGATGATGTCTTGTTTGGTTCGACCAAAAGTCCAAAACCCAAAGATTAAACATCCACATTAATGACAGTAGCAGTCAAACATTTGTGTGGTGTGGTGGGGGTTTGTGAACTTTTTTTGCCTTCTGAAAGGGGCCATGCCAGAAAAGGTTTGAGAACCACTGATTTAGTGTGACAATTTATCCACTGCGCTACACAATCCCAAATAGGCAAAGACGGAGCCAGACTCAGTCTAACTGCAATTACCCTCAGTAATTCAATGCTTACCCTTCTTGGCTTGGATCTCATACAGGGAATAACTAGTAGTCAGCATTTTCATATCAGGCCTGAATTTCTCTGAGAGAGTTTCAATAATCTCATGAGTTGAGGAGTTGCTGCAAACACGCAGGCACTTTGTGGCCACATTTCCTTCAACATGATCCTCAAAGTAGAAGCGCATCACGCCATGAAACTCCTGGTTCTGCCGGGAAACAGAAAACGGTTTGTTTTTTAGTGTGTCCTGTGGTTTCTGTTCTTTTCATGTTCATCTTCATTCTGTTAAGTGTACTGAGACAATATTGTTGAACAGACTTTATATATATAAATAAAGGCCAGTCTTACATTTATAAAATGCTGCTTTGGATTTAAATTTAAAAAGTGAAAATGTCCCCTTCTCAATGTAGTGTTGTAAGATTCTTAAATGATACCAGGAAATCAATAATGAATATAATACTTAGTTGCAGCCCCACAATCAATATCATGAGAGAGAATGCATTTCATGAAATTTGCTGTTTGCTGAACAGGAAACAGACAAGTAATAAGACCGAACACAGAGGAACAGGGGGGCAAAAGATTGTAAGTGTGACACAGTAAAGTATAAACTAAAACTAAATGTACAGAATGTTTCATCACCAGGTCAAATCATTTTAGGTTCCTACAATGTATGGTCACAACAAAATGAACTTTAAATCAGATCAGAATCGTATCAAGGTTGTACAGCTGTGCCTAACACTATAACGCTGACCACCACTGTAAATTACTAGCGTAGTAGTATTTCTACTATTGTTGTATTTCTATTACTACTCTCAGTTGCATATACTCTAAATCTGTCCATGACTTTGCATAATTATAAGTCTATACTGTCCAAACTGATGACATTGTTTTTTGTATAGGGCTGCAACTAACCATTATGCTCATTATCATTTAAACCACCACTTTTGTCTTGATTGATCTATGCAGTGTTTTGTCATCATCTGCAATCAATCAATTAATTAATTAATTAACTAATTAGTTACCCAACTAATGACTATTTTGACAATCAATTATTAATTTCAGGAAATTTTCAAGTAAAAACTTGTTCCAGCTTTTCAAATTGCAAGATTTGCAGCTTTTCTGTCTTTAATCATAGTAAACCTTTTGGACTTTTGATCAGGCAAAACTGCAACTTGTGATTGGAATTTTTTATTTTTTTTTTAGATATTTTCTTACATTTTATAGATAAAATGAAAAAACAAAAAAATAATCAGCAGATTAATCAACAATGAGAAGAAAAGTTGCAGCTCTACATAAGTACATTACAGTTACTGGTAACAAAACAGCTCTAAAAGCTCTTCAGGTAGATCTAAAACTGTGGCACTGACAGTTGTGCAGAGACTGAAACTTTAATCCAAACTAAACTTTGTGGTGTATGGAGACATTCTGATGCTTGCAGGCGACTCACCTCATCAGGTTGGCTTATTTCAAACAGGTCCAGTCTGTTGTTGTTCCACTGTCTGATGACTTTGGCTAATTTCTCTCGGTCTTCCTCCTCTGGCATTTTTCACCAATTAACCTCAAAGTTTATATCTGACAGGCTCCTGTAGATTTTCTCCAGAAAACGACAGAGAGGGTAAAAAAATCCTGTGACTGAGAAGTTCTTTTTTGTCTTGCGTATTGTATCTATTAAGGCCCCACCCCTTCTTCAATTTATTCCCCATTAGTTATAAACTCATTATACTGAGCAGTGAGTTCTTAAACATAATTGCCTACTTCATCCTCACATCCACATCCCCTCTCGAAGCCCCCGGACCCCTCTGACCTCATTTAACGGGTCAGTGGATCTTTGTTATGTGAGGCAAACAGTTTCCTAATCATATATCCATCACCGGCAAGTGATTGCTATCTTTATAGTCGACCAAATTTATCGTCATTTTCTCTTTGTTATCATTTCCATCAACAAAAGTGCATGTTTTGATTTCTCACTAGCGTTTGCTGGTGCAACTATTTACATGTATTTCGATTTATAATATATTCTAACCATGCTCCAGAAGTTGTCATGTGATTTTGACAGTGTTCAGTAGTCTCAGAGACATTTCCACAGTCGCCATGAGAGATTTCCATCCTCCTTTTCGCAGCGACATGGATATTTACGCTTGAGGGAATCCTACTTCTCATGCATACCAGTGATTTTCAACACAATTTATGGTAACATGTCTTCCCATTCAGTCAGCACTATGTATGTGGGGCAGCTTTTGTTGGCTGCTCTGAAGCTTTCTGGGTAAACCTACAATGGAACAAAAGACTTAACAAAACCAACCCCTCAATTAGATATACAGTACATCATAAAAAACTGAACAATCAAGGGTATTGTTGTCTGGATGCTGGAAAATGCAAAGAAGATGCATTTTAAGGAAAAACATAGTTTCAGTTCATGATGATCCATTTTAGAAATAGGTACAAGGCTACAGTCCATCAGTATAATTCTGTTTATTTGCATTTATGTTTAAGGAAGAACTCTTTTATAAAAAGACAGGTTAGGGATTTTAAAACAGTAATCAAAAACTCAAGAAAAAAGTTATTTTGCTTTTGTTCCTTACAGTTGAAAATATTCAGTATTATTATCTAACAAAACCCATGAGAAGACCAAAACCAACAACATGTTAAGTGATGAGTATGCTGCTTCAGACGGTCTTGTCTCATAACCCAGCCTTCAGTTTGTCTTTCAATAGTTTTGGACTCCCCCTATTCTTTCTGTGGCTCTCAGCCCCAATTCCATTTGATCCCACGTAAAACTTAAAAAAAAAATCCTCTAAAACTGCACTGTAGTGTTTAGTAAATATTACTAACAGGAATAAATAGAGCATTTGTTGGGGACTATTTTTCAGTTGCACTAGCAAGTATTAACAGCATCAAGCTGACTCCTATGTGAGACTAACTCAGAATAAACTACATTGCCCATGTTTATCAAAAATGATAGAGCATGTCACTCAGTGCCACAGTGTCACACAGTGTTTTTAATAGTTTTCGAACAATGGTGGAGCTCTATGTCACAGGGCTAAGCTATGTCAGGCTTTGGTCACACAGAAGATAGTTGTTAGTAGGATCACCTAATCGTTGGTTTTGGTCTTTTCATGGGATTCGTTGACAAGAAATGAGCCTGTAAAGTGTTTTATAAATGGCCACCTGGTGGCGCTATTTGATGTTCCTACCAGTCTAATTTAAATCACTTATTTTTTGACAAATCCTCCTGTGACAGACAAATGCACAACAAAAAGACAATATATCTGCTCCTTTACAATAACATCTGTAACACAATCATCTGAGACTTTTAGGTAATTTTTAAGTTTCATCACCCAAAATTCCATACTGCATAAGGTGATGTAAGGTCCTCAATCTTAATATAAAAAAGCATAATTTGCACAAATTAATATTGTTGAGGTGTGAGGTTGCAAAGATTCTCTTCATTTAATTTTCAAAGGCCTCCTGTGTTGCATCCCCTCACAGTGCAATAATCTTAACACCTTTAAAGTCCTCAGAATATCAAATATAACACAAGTCTGCAAAAACAACCACTGCAGTACATTTCATAGGACTGTTCACTGGCTGTACATCTAATGAGCAGACTACAGTGAGACATCATGTGTATTGTAAACACGGCACAAATATAGAAAATAATTCAGTGATGTTGCAGCTCTTCATGGCATCAATCATATAATCAAGTCGTTTCCCTCTGCATTCTTTGACTTGTCTTTCCTCCTGTCAGAAAAAACAAGTACACAAGAAAAGAACATTAAGGATTAAAGCATCAACATTTCCTCTGCACCTCCTTATCATAAATCTAGATATTCTTATTTCCCAGACATCACTGACTGTCACCTTTTCTCACACCTTCCCTGCTATCTTTCTCCCCTCTTGACACCTTTTTCCTGTTGTCAAAAACGCTTTTCTGCTTCATGTATTTATTAATATTATTAAGTACTGTCTTTTATTGTAAAACATTCTTGAAAAACAGTTATTAGTTGTCTTCTTAACACTGCTTATTATTGGTTTCTCATAATATTGGCAACTTGTGAATTTAAAGTTTTTAGGTTGTTGTTAGTGTTGCATTCATTATAATGTGCTCTGGATAAGAACGTCAGCTCATGATGAAAAACATAAATAAATCTAATAATGTATTTATTATAAAATCCATTTACCCATTTAGATTCTCTACATCCTCTATGGTCTCTGGCAGGGCGACTCCACTCATTTCAGGTAACATTGTCACCAATCCACTGTACAGTACCGACATCACACCTGAAACAAATTTAACATTAAATGGCAAAAGATACCTTAAATTGGTATGTTTGAATTCTCCCTATATATCATTTTAGAGGGCTAAGAACATGGCGACATGAAAAGGAAGACTCAAATTTACCGTAAAGAAAAAGAGGCAGCTCCTGCCAGATGCTGGCCAGTCTGTAGAGCAAGAATGGGGCTGCAATTGCTCCAAGGTCACTGGCTGATGAACACACTGACACACCCAGATTTCTGTGAGGAATTGAAAGTAGATAGTCACAATCAAATAAGATATACAGAATGTCTCTTCATTTTGCTTCTTTTTTTTTTTTTTTTTTTTAAATTTAACCTTTATTTTACCAGGCAAGAAACTAAGAACAAATTCTTATTCACAATGACGACCTTACTGTTCTCAAACTGGCATTTGTAAGTATGAACTAATGCAAAGTTCCCATTTTGTCTAGACTAAAAGTTTACAGCCACAATAGGTGTACTTCGGTACAGTGGTGCTTTCAGCTAAATGCTTACGTCAGCCATGCTGAACATGCTGATGCTGTGCAGATATAATGCTCACCATGTTCAGCATCTTAATTTGGTTTGTTGGCATGCAAACATTTGCTCAAAAAAAGGAAAATTGAGGGATCACCCAAGTGTATACAATTGCTCCTGGCAGTAATATGAATGTGTGCAGCACACATCATTGCAGTTCATCCAGTAGTTGTTAAAACACAAAACCACAAATGTGGCAGTAGAGGAAAGGTCAGGGGATCAACAAGTCATTAAGATATGTGTGAGAAGCTTCAATGTCTGTACAAAGTTTCATGGCAATCCATCTAATAGTTGTTGGACCAAAATGGTGGACCAACCAACTGACAGACCAACATTGCCAACTGGATTTTAAAAAGATTTTAAAGATACAAAGGGTATCTTCTTAATTAGTGTATGGTAATCGATTCATTTTATACAGTGAAAACTGCTTCTAATTTACCTAGTAAAACAACAAATGTGCGCTTGAATTGTGGAAGTGAAAATGTCCCTAGGTAGGCACAGATGTTTGTTACCTAAAACAGTTTCTGTCTTTTCTGCTTAAATGAGTTCAGGCATGTTCTGGAAAGAAGCTGTGTTTTTCACTTGGATTTGAACATTCACTTAAAATTTTTGCGCTGGCAGGCACTTTTCATCTTTTCGTCTGCTTATGTTCTTGTTAGTCTGATGTGCACGTCAAATGCAGCTTGTTTATCATCTTTCGCAGCTCATAAAAAACAAATCCATATCTACCAACACTCAGTGTTTTCACACCTCAGAGGTGTCGGATACATCTCTGTGTTTGCAAAGTTCACAGTCTCAAATCCAATGGCAACAGCAAGCCTCCCGATGATTGCAATCGACTTTTTCAACCAGGCAAAATCTGTAAGACAGAAGAACAAAAGCCCAAGTAGAAGCATCATCCCTTTACCAATTGAGGGATTGTCATTACCAACAATTCTTCATGAACTGAGCAATCATCACACAGTTTTTTCAGCTCTTCAACTGAATCCACATGCACTATCAGCTGTACTTACCCATGGAGAGAAAGGGAATTGTGAGACAGGCAATGCCAGCAGTGAAGTTGGAGATGGCCATGAGGGAGCGTCGACCGACTCTGTCGACCAGCAGGTAGAAGATGAGGCCGGTTGGAAGCTCCACCACAGCCGAAATGAAAAAATCTAAGAAGAGGTTGTCTCCTGTGATCCCAAGCCGCAGGACCAGGCCTTGAAACACAACAGTGCTGGTAAACCTGGATGAGAGCAGAGGAATATCGAGTTAAATTATAATTTTTGAAATTACCAACACATCCTCCAAGAACCATAGATATGGTATTTTATAATATCATGTAGTGGTAAACAACTCAATATAAAATCACAAGAACTGACTTACCAGGCGTAAATTAAAATTAGTGTGTTTTTTCTTATAGTTGGTGTCCTAAACAAATCCATAACCGATACAGGATTTACATTTTTCTTTTCCTCCAAAAGAATTATCTGAAAAATATTATATTGAATGGTTAATCAGAAGTGGTAAATCATATTTCCAGATTTACATTTGCATCGGCAAATCACAGCTCCCAAGGTAAACCAAGACAAAATCAGAATACACGATCTTTCAAAATATTGTCATACCTCTTGAATATTATGTGGTAAAGATCTCCCATTGTATTTTGCAATGTCAGCAGTAACTCTCATGGCCTCTGTAGTTCTTTTTTGTGAAAACAGCCAGCGTGGAGATTCAGGAACAAGCCTTTAAAAAAACAAGCACACATTTGTAGTGGATTCAGTAGCTACATCAGAACTATCATAAAGATGAATAAGACTGGCTTATATGAGGCAAACCATATACTGTATTCATACCAGTGGTATGAGATGAACAGAAAGCAGGACACGCTCATGACCAGCTGCAGAGTCCTCCAGGAAGACAGGAAGTAAGCCAGGCCAGGCAGGATGACCATGCCAGTAGAGTAGAAAGTCCGACTCGCCATGGAAACGAATTTCCTGTTGTCTGATCCAAAGAACTCGATCACTACATCAAAAAAGGTAATAAGTTAAGGAATACACTTTTATATATGTAAAGCCAAAATATGTGGAGGACAATATGATCATTAATAAGCAGGATCAAATATGTACTGGGTAGCCTAGCTTAATTAGAGGTCCAGTGTTTGTACATACCAAGTACATAGGTGGCCGTCCACGCTCCCTTTCCAAAAAACCCTTGTAAAAATCTAAAGATGAGCAGCAGCAGGTACCATGGCGACAGCAGCACCCCTACACCTGAGATACCAAGGCCAAGCATTGATGCAATCAAACATGGCTTTCTACCAAACCTGTGAAAAGACCAAACAGTATTTATTACTGTCACAACTGATTCAGTACTTACATGCTTGTCGGTGGATACTGTGAAAAGAAAACAACTGAAATGGATTGGTGCAACACAAACCTGTCAGCCAGGTAGCCAGTGATGAAAGCCCCAACAAAAAATCCACATGCCAGAAAGACTTGATTCAGATCAGCGAGCCAGGATTTCTCACAGACCAGTGAGAACTAGGAGAAGGAAGATTTAAAAAACATTTCATCAAAAACCAAAATTAACAGAACTATTAATGGTTTTTATAATTATGTTTTTGACAGAAATAAATAACACAATTAAGGATCCAGAAAACTGAAATGAAAAATTTTGAAAAGGAAGCTGAAGTTTGAAGAAATAGGAGGAAAAAGGGAGCAGTTATGTAAAATATCTCTTAACACAGCTTGCCTGAGTTGTTTCTAGTTCTAGGGCAGCTTGGTTTGTGTAAATAGAGTTGCACAACATCACATGATTATTACTTGTGATTTATGTAGTACAGTGAGTTTCCTCCTAAGTAATGAGTTATGGGATAAAAGTCAAATGCAAAAGCAACATTGTAGAAACTGTTGATGGACCAATTATCTACTGATATAGACACGTGGCAGCTGCAGCCTCATATTTAAGATTTCTAACACTGTTCATGCTGCCAGGTAGAAAGAAAATATACCTACCTCAGACACAATAGTGCTGTGGCTTTCATCAAACACCCATCTGCCATCACAAGGCACCAGCTCAGTTGCGTTGGAAGTCAACAGCCAGTTAAGCTCATTGCATTTGTTTTGGTTTTTGCTCCAGTCCACATCAAACCTCTCACAGCGGCTGAAGGATCCTGACTGTTCAGAGTGGGGGATAGTGACTTCACGCACCTCGGCCTCCGTCCAGCCACATTCCTCCCGGAGGTGCTCAGACCCAGGACTCCAACACCAGTGATCCGGAGTGTGTGCTAAGAAAACAACCCCGACAATTACAAAAGCAAAAATTACTAATGGAAATGAACCAAGTGTAACAATCTTTTTCTGGAAAGGTCCAAAGTCTCCTATGTGGTTGATGAGTTTGTCTACATTTGCCATCTCTGCTGATTATTTAATGTCTGAAATAAGATGCTGAGTCTGTTAAAGCAGCTCCAATCTGAGAATGTCTAAGAAGAGACGCGTCTTTAAAGAGATCAGTGGGGCCTCAATGTTGATCAAAGTCCCTCATTCTTTCTCACTCTTCAGTTTACTGGTCATCTTTTCAAGGAATTTTGTAAGCCTTCTCTGACCATTAAAAGTGCAGTGTTACCAAACTGCAGTTTGTGGCCCCTCTCTGCAAGATCCCAGACCCTTAGCCTTTTATTCCTGCACCATCCACATTCCAATCAGGGAAACAGTTTGTTTACCAACTTTTTCTTTGCTTTTATCGGGGGCAATTTTAAGACCTCAGTGCTTGCCGGTTTGTGGCAAGCACTTTATGACACCCAGAGGATTAATCTTATTGATTTGAACCCTTGACTTTTCCTGTCGTGTCACCAGCAGGTTGGCACTTTTGGCTTTTTAGTGAAATATTCTGACAAATATTGGATGAATTGCCTTTGCCATTGCAAGAGACATTTGTGGTGCCCAGGGGGTGAACCCTAATAAATTTGGTGATTCCATAATTTATCCTATAGCAGCACCATGAGGTTGATATTTTTGGTTTTGTGTGAAATATCTAGACAGCTATTGCCATAAAGTTTGGTGCAGACATTCATGTTGCCCTCACATAACTTTGATGATCCCTTAACCTTTCATCATCCTTTATTTTCTAATCAGTAATTGAAACAGTTTTGTTCACTACAATGATTAATGAAACATCTGTAAAGTAATCGACACATGAAAAACATGGTCTTAAATTGCTCTGCATGTTCCAGTTTATCTGAGGCAAACCGCCATGATTTCTCTGTGCAGCCTGTGAAATGCATAGGTAGTTAGACATTAACAAAAAATGGAGCATTTCACAGAAACAAGATATACTATAATCCAGGTTAGTGTGTTCTCCTTTTTCAAACCTAAATATATTTACCATGAATGATGCATTCTCTTTCTCTGGTATAACTACTTACACAACCTTTCTCTTACATGGTTTTCTGAGAAATTGACTTATCTAATTGTCTTTGGTTGACCTTGAGCAGCGTGACATATTTTGTGCTTGTCATTGAATGTTGAACCATACACAGAATATCTTTTAGTTTCATAACCAGCAGCATGTATTGTCCTCATAACATCTGGCCTCACTCCAAGAACCTCATACAGAGTCACAGTCATCATGTGCTCTCACAACATATTATTCAAGTTTAAGATTAGACTAGAGTCTTCAGGTAGAGCCTTTTGTAAGATACTTAGCATATAAATCACATGAGAGTATTATGTTCAGCTACCTTTGTGTATGTTTAATTTATCTCAGTCTTATATTACCTTATACTGATTAGATTGTAACCAGTAACTTCCAGGGCTTGCATTCATGTGGTGAACCATACATTTGTATTTTGCATCTCCCTTTATTTTATATTTTTTTTAGGCTTTAATTTTATTCTACTCATCTATTCTATATAGTATATTTATGCTAAATGCATATATTTATTTTCATTTGAATACCAAGTATGTTGGGCATTAAAATGTCCTTCTGTATGACTAAAGCTCCATCTTATCTAATCTCAAAGTACAGTATGTTAGTGCAGTCTTTTCTACTTTTGAAAATTCGCAAATATTGATTTTAAGTGTGTGCTGTTGGGATTGAACAGAGAAAGACCAGTACAACAACATCACAAACCGCAGTCCCAACCCCTCAATGAGCTATACAGAGATAAGATTTTTGGTTGCAAGGGTTTTCCATGGGATAGCATTAAATTTGTCATGTGTTCCTATTATTTTTCCATATACTGTATGTGGCGAATAGAGGCAGGTAGCACACCACTCTGACCTAAGCTGAAATAATTTACTCAGCTAAAGAATTACAGTATAAGCCTATAGCAAGAGAATATACAGAATAACAGAATTTGTTTGATTACAAAATGATCTCAATCAGTTTTGTTAAAGTAAAAGGTTGTTAATTGTACAGTAATAGTTTATTGGATGTATTTATCTGTGATTGTAAACCCTCTAAAAGAACATGTTGCATTACGATTCACAATTTACGAACTCTACTTAACATTCACTCTTATTCTAAACTTGGTACAAGAAATGTTATCAGCCAATGTCACCTGTTTCTGTATTTCTTTAATAAGTCAATGTTGTGTATGAAGGAGTTTAATCTTCACTGCGCAGATAAAATGTCCTCCACTGTTGGTCGGTCTATTGGACTCTGGCAGCAGTGAGAGAACAGCACCCTCCCATGTTCGTCCAAAACAAAGTCGCCTCCCAGCTGGAAAGTACAGGCAAAACAAAATCAACAAAAACATATACAAAACCTTAATATTTTCTCTGTGAAGATTATTACATAAAACTGTTAAAAATCCAGCTGATGAATAGACAAGTATTTAATTATTATTTTATATATATTATATATTTTAATTATTGTATTTTTGTGAAGTGAGAAGCTTCACTGGAGAATTCGGACTTTGGATGCCTTGCACAAGGACACAACAAGCTCTGCTGCTGCCGCCTCAAATATCCTCAACACAGCAACATTTTACCTGAAACATGTCGTCTTGTATTGATGGGAGATCTCTTGGAAACTCCATATTATCCGCCACATACTCAGCATAGAGCAGCATGTTACTGAAGTTTAATACTTTCTTCAGAGATGCCTCCAGGCTGAACGCAGTGTACATCTGCAATACCCAACACAAGGTTCATCAGTCAAAGTATGAAACTTGTAGCGGTATTCTGCATTTCTGTTGCATGGTGTTGACTCCTGACCTTTCTATCAGGGTCCAACAGCATGTCGTACCGACAGCCTGTCTCCTGTAGCCAGTGTGAAGCGCCCTCCCGACAGCCAAATGAAACAATCACCACTTCCACAGAGTGTGCATCCAGGGATCTCTGCAAAATAATGTAATTTTTTTACATCCAGAGGCAGCTATGCCTTTTTACAGCATTTTAAACAGCATTTCAAACAGTTCAAAGATGCTGATTTTCAGGATTGCGGTCTGAGGTGATTGTGGTTACTTCTGAGAATAACACTGCACTTAATTTGGTCAGATTAATTTGCTTCCTCACTGAGAGGTTTTCTGTCAGCCACAGGAGGAAAAAGACTGGAGGCTGTCCAGTTTTTGCTCTGTGATTATGCTGAGCTCTAAAGTCAGTTCAGAGAAATAATTCACTCAGAATTAATAATGAACCTAGAGCAAGTAACAGAACAAACATTTAACCAGAGGAGAATACTCCAAACTGATTATTAAATTCAACAGCTGGCACAGTCATGAGCACTTTTATAATAAAGGAGAGAAAACAGAAATCAGAGCATTAAGATAAGGTCAAGTGCACATCATCATGCTTTAACTACATATAAACATAATTTCCTGTAAAAAACAAAACAAAATATGAGCTGAAATTTTGATACCTGACTCTTCTCCAGATCTTTAAGATGGAGACGGCAGAGCAGGCAGGAGAACTGACGGATTAACACCAGCAGGATCTTTTTACCTTTCCCAAGATATTTCTGCAGTGTCACTGTTCTGAGAAACACACAGAAACTGTGAAATGCTAAAGTGCAAAATAGAAAATGCCAACACAGAAGTTTTGATATATGTATTTAGTCAGATAATTTGTGATATTTATTGACAAGAGTGGTTGTGTAAAAAGAAAGGAATCAGACTCACTCTCCTGTCTTGGCATCGATGAGCGGTGTGTCTGGTGGAATACGTCTTGATTGATGGTCCTCAGTCAGTGTTTTAGCACTAAGTTGCAACTCATCATCCAAACGTTGTAGAAAGGAATCCCACTGCATCTGTGTTGCATTGGACACACTCGGTAAGAATAGAAAAAAGTACATGCGATAGCGCTGTGGAGAATACTTTTTGAGATTTTTTAAAATTTAAACAACTCACTGCGAGCTGCTGAAAGTCTTGCACAGCATCCTGCAAGGCTGCACAACTGGAAATGTAATGCAATAAAGTTTTTAGGGTTGTTGTAGTTTATTGGGCCTGTGACTTTGACCTGTGAGAGGAGGTTTACTATTGCAAAATTAGGAGTCTCTCAGCAGATTTTTTTTTTTTCCTTCATCAGGCCGTCAGTTACAGCACTTTTGGTGGCTGGAGTGAATTTTTATCCCATTTAGACATACCTAAATATAGTTGAAAGCCCTAAATATAAAGGTTTAAGGTGGACATTGTTGATGCAATATCTAGATAACAGTCATTCGTCTGTTCCTCACTTGTGTCAAATGTAGTTCGGTAGTTTTGGGTGCAAAGCTCTGAGGTGAGGAATTCATTAAGAAGTAAATCTTACTGATTGTTTTTTGTCCATAGATCCTCTGCATCCTTTTTCCTCTTAACAGACAGACTGTGAAATAAAAGAACAAAACAAGGTAAGCAACTAATTTGTTCATATATAAGAACAATGCTGAATCTGTGACGCTGCGTGTCTCATAAAACTTTTTTAAAATGTGTTTTTACAGTAGCTTTTACAAGTACAGGCTGTTTATAGACTGTGGAAACTGCCTGAACCTTCTGTACAGGCCGGCAGCAGCTTCAATCAGGCCCAGCAGTGACTGTTTTTGCTCAATGCGAATTTTCTGTCTGATGAATTCCTGGAATGAGCCTGTGAGAGATAAAGTGCATAAAGTTAGCATGTAACAGTCTGTTAGGGTTCATTCTTTAAGTCTAATGATTGACAGGCCTCCTGCTACCCCTACGCAGGGTACGACTATAAATCGTCTGCCAACTGCAGAACATGGTGTCTGCATGTCTATTTTTATGTGCACTTGTCTGGCCACACAAAATGCTGCCTACCTTCTTTGCTGTCCTTTTCGGCGAGGTCCAGCAGAGCTTTTCCATTTTCAACAAAAGCTGTGAGAGCTTTTACACAGGAGAGCGCAGTTGGGTTTACTCCTTCTGCCATTTTCACTTTGAATGTGCACCTGCAGTAGTTGCATGAGATATGCACCGACTTATCAGTGCACCGCTGTCAAATAACCTCTGCTGTCTCTCCAAGTCCACTTTGGACAAATGGGGAAATAAAAGATTGTCTGCTGAAGCTCGTTTAAAGGGGAACTCCACTGATTTTACACGTGAATATCAGTTCCATTGTTTTTGATAAGTAGCCTACTACTCAGCCTGTGAAAACATTTGTATAATGTTTTCTGTGGCTATGGAGGTTTTCTTTTTTGTTTTTAAGAACTATACTTAGAATGACGTCAGAGAAAACAAGGGTGGCATAACTGGTGCTGGGTGCTATAATCCAAACAAAAAATTGGGAAAAAAGCAATGCAGCTTGTGTTGTATTTTTCACACTAAAGTCATCAGTATAGTTAAAGCCCCTACACACACACTGGTGTTTTCACTGACGTTGCCTGATGAGACTGCGCTTGAACTTCCTCACGATTCTGTTGGGTTTTGTTGCACCTGTAAAAGGAGTCAACATACTTTACAGTGATACAACTTCACAGAGACACCTGTTGTCACCTTTGCAATAATAAACTACAGATGCAGAACCTGCTTAGAATTCATGTGTAATATAGATTTGGGAGAAGCTATGGCAATCGTTTGTAATGCCCAGTGTAGCTCCGCCCAACCTGTGTGGGTGTGCCGAGCCTGTAAATCTTGTTTTACGGTTACATTACATTGTTGTTATTACAGGAATAACAACAATGTGTAAATAATACTATAATCATAGTATCTGTTATTATGGTTAAAAAAAAAAAAAAGTATGTGATCAGCGGATGTGATGTAGGGAAGTGAAAGCTTTGATGGTAAGATGAGAACATGGATGTTTTAAGGGTACATTAGCCGATTGTTATTTTTTATTATTTTGTCGGGAGTCTCTCCAAAGTAGAGTTGTGAAGTGGGGTGAGCCGCTTGTTCTGCAAATTTTATTCCCTATTCTGTATTCCAACTTAAAATCTTCAATCTTCAATGATGATATTAAGTAACATAGAAATATTGGTATCTCCCAGGTAATGTAACAATCATACACAGTAGGTGTTTGTAATGGACACCAGTTTTACAACTTAGCTTCTTAATAATATTGATTTTAGTTTTTTTTTGGTTTTTTTCCATCTCTTTGACGGACAGCTCTAAATATACCCGTGGCCTTGGCTGCTGTTTCTGGGGAGAAAAAGCCAATCAAAGGCGAGAATTGAACATGCATCAAAGGTGGTTGCAGTTGTGAACCAAATACAGCGCCATAACCGGTGAATTCATCCAGAACCGACCTAGAAGCCAAAAACTGAATTGATTCAAGCTGCAGATTCTGTTCTGTTCTCTCTGTTTTCATGTAACAGATTTTTTTAAGCCTGATGACTGTACTTTATTTCTCACATCTCCTACCTTTGACTTATGATGTTTTGTAACACAGTTAATATTTTGTATTAATGATCAACCAGGAGAGTTTCATGTCTAATCTCAAGCTGAGTCACACAATGTTGTCTAGAAAAAATGAATGAGAGTTTTACTACCAGAAACAGAGATGCCCGAAATACAGTAGCTCCGTCCACTTTGCAACTCTATAGGTCTGTGTGTGTTTCAAAACTTTCTTTACTTTTTGATCTGCATGTTAGAAAAGCCATAAAGCTGCTTTGTTGTAGTTGGCCTGTTTCAGGATATAAAACAAAGCTTCTCTTAAATGTTGACATATCAGGATCACACACTAAAGACTAAACCAGCATTTTTCATTTTATTGCTATGAATCTCACATAAACAAGGTTTCTTTTCACAGTCGTTGCAGCATTAATCAACTGACTCCATTTCCAAATCCCTCTGTTCTTGGTATCCATCCTCCTTGGCCTCCTGGAGGTGTTCGCCGTTGCTCTCCTGTATGTGGTTCTCCTCTGGCCCCTGGACGCCCTCAGAGTGTCCTTGTGATTGGCTAGCGACTGTTTCTGTGGGTATGACATGAGAGATTGTAAAAGAACCGGCAATCTCCTTCAGACGGGCCTGCTCGGCTTTCAGTTTAGCCAGTTCCTTGGTCAGTGGTGTTTTGAGTGTCGGGGTCCCAGCGGGGGCATCAGTGGCTTCAGTATTCTGGACAGGGTGGTCGGCTTCTGGGTCTTTAGCGGTCTCCTGCACCTCGGGGACCTTCTCCTCTGTTGGTTCGGCAGTGGTGACGCCTGGTTGACTTCCAGCTCCCTGCATCTTCTCATAAAGACTCTTCCTCTCCTCTTGCAAAGCCCTGCACAGATTCTCAAGCTTCTGGTTCTTGATGGTGATGAGCTCAAACTCCTTTTCCTTGATCGCTTTCTATAAAGGATTAAAACGTATGTAACATGAGTAAAAGTGGGGAAACCGTTTCTTGTAAACAGATTTCTTTCAGTGGGTCATTTATAGCCCAAAAATAATCATAGTTTTTAGGCTGTAAATGACTGAAGAAAAATCTTTCTTACGTCTGCCACCATGTCGATGAGGCTCTTGTTGCAGCCATCAAAGCGAGTCTTCCATGACTGGCACTCCTTCTCCAGCTTTTTCATTTTCTTGGCCATCTACAACACACACAAAAAAAATCACATTACACTACACATAATCAAAGCAACTTCTAAAAATAAGTGCCACAATAGAGTGTAGGATTAGTTTGTCGGCTTTCTGAAGTTATTGTAAATCTCATGGGATTTTTTTTTCTCTTATTTCTGTTTTCATTATCTCTTTATTGGCAGATAAACTAAATAATCTAACCAATATCTCGAGGCTGACTTCAAATATTCTGTAAAACTGTTCTTACTTTGTCCATGTCCTGTTTGAAGCTGCTGTAGACACTGTTACTCTTTGATACCGTGCCCTGGAATTCATCAAACTTCTTGGAGTACATATCGAGCTGAGGAGAAATGGAGAGAAAAATATTATACGTGTCTGTAGCGAGGTAGAAAAACAAGCCAGTTTTGCCCATGTCACTGTACCTGGGTCTTCATATCGATCTCTTGCTCCTTCATGACCTTCACTTGCAATTTATATTCCCCAGCCTGTTTTAGCAGCTGTGGAACATTGAAATATTCCATGAAAATGAGCATTAGGGGATTAGAATTGCAAACACGTTATTAAAATGCTTGTAGCACTCGGCAAATCTGATACACAAAACGTACTAGCTCTTTTTCCAGCTTGTGCTTCTCCTCCGCCTCCTTCAGTATCATGTTTGCCTGCGTGAGCTTGGTTTCCAGCAGCTTTTCTTTCAGGTCTCTGTGTTTGAAGACCTTTTCCAGGTTCTGGAAGACATTCAGGTGAATTTATGAGTCGTTTTCACACAGAAAGCTGTTTCACTTCTTGCTCGGGGAGCTTTGGCTACATAAAACTGAAATACTGTAGCTAATAAATGTAAGACCTGGATGAAATTTGCAAATAATTCATGTGTTTGGTAGGGGCGCAGAGGCCCAGATGTGTGCAGTTTTACATAAGGCTAGTGCAAGCAATGTCAAGAGTTTGTATTTAGATTGGGAGGACAAATTCACAAATCTAATGTTTTCCTGTAACAGCTCAAATGTTGTGTGACTGTCTGGTGTAAACCAACATGTCCTTAGCATGTGGCAGGATCCATACCGCCTCTCGCTGGTCGTATTGTGAAATGAGTCCCTTCAGTTTCTCTGCCAGAGCGCTGTTCTCCTGGCACAGCTTGGTGTTGCGGCTGCTGTGCTCCTCGATTTGGGCCTGAATCTCACTGAGCGTCCCCTGGAAGTGGGTGGTGATCTCTTTCCTCTTCAGGTCGTCCTCTCTGCACCTCTGCAGGGTCTCCTCCTGTATTTCAAGGATGGATGTTAGAGCTAAAGCCACACTGCACAAGATGCATTTGCAGTTGAAACAGTGTCCATGTATTTTTACCCAGTATTTTTTTTCACACCTAAAAGTGAACAGCTCTTTTTTTTTTTGTTTCAATTTCTTAATTAATTAGCCAATGCTTCAGAGGGTTCAGTTAAAGCTGACTGGCCAATGTATTGTATGTCTAGTGACTAGCACCATAAGTATATGTAGCAGGTGGAATCGCTTCTAAGCCTCAGGTTTTTTCCCCCAAACAGTTTATATAAAAGTCAGCATCAAATCTAGAGCTGTGATGATGATTCAGTTCATCTATTAATGTGTCTAAAAATATTATTTTGTTAACCGCTTAATTGTTTCAGTCTCGTTTTTTTGTCATTCATGATGGTTAATGGGATTTCTTTGGGATTTGAACTGTTGGATGAACAAAACAAGCAATCTGAAGTCACATTTTTGACATAGACTGTTATAGACATTTTATAATGATTAACTGGTTGATTGAGAAAAACAAAATCTGCCGATAGGTCAATGATCAAAATAATCATTTGTTGAATTTCTGATTAAATTTCTCCCCATGTTTCTTTAAATCAATTAAAAGTGTTTCTACTGCATGACAGCAACTAAGTATCTGCTTTTTCCAACATTTCATAAAAGCAGTATGATATTTACAGCTTAGAGTGAAGTATTCAAAAGCACGGATATTCCCTAACGCCCGATGTAAATTGTAGATGTTATGTTATCTCCCAAATGTTGTATTTATCATCTTTGAAAACTGTAGACTCAAACACAACATTGGCTTCACAACATAAACTGTGGGTGTGGTAGTTTGAGAGGTCACACCCTGAGCTTTGACATAATGGCTGATCTTCGGTGCCAGCTGATGTCACCTCCCGTAGAGCACAACATATGGTGACGACAGTGGGCACCAAAACTCAACTAACAGCACCTGGCAACCTCAGTAGCTCAGTAGAAGTAGCTAGATACCCAGCATGGATTTAGTGTTTAGTTCATCTTAAATGATACTGCTTACTGCCACTGCTGCATGTGGGGCACTAACGTCAGGAGCTGAAGTACCTTTAAGGTCTTGTTGTGCCTCTGCAGCTCTCGGCAGAGCCCCTCCAGTTTACTGCGAGCCAGCACGGCCCGGCTGTGCTCGCTCTGCAGCTGGTCTTTCTCCTTCATCACTTGGAGCAACTTCTTCTGCAGAACCTTCAGCTGTTTCTGATCACTGCGATGCTCCTCCAACTGCAAAAGCAC